CCCCTCCGCGCCCGCCTCCTGCTGCCGCATGCAGCTGCGACTCTGAGCGCGCAATTCCGCAGTCGCTGGAGCCCGCAGCTTGCTGGCTGCCCCCCTCGACCCCGCCCCGACGAGACTCCCACCTCCTGCCGCCGGCAGCTGTTCGCCGGGGAAACGCCCAATTTCAACTTTCTCACCCTGTAAAATACAAGCCTTGAGGCTGGGCCGGGTCACGCTGCCTGAAAGTTTGGGTTTTTGCAACTGAGTCGAGGGCTTTTCATTGTGAGACGCAAGCTCTCTGAGAGGTCGGGCGTGGCTAAATGCAAACTTTTTTCTGTGTCTTAGTTTTGGGAGGTCATCAGTGATGAGCATGGGATCGACCCCACTGGCAGTTACCATGGAGACAGTGACTTGCAGCTGGAGAGAATCAATGTGTACTACAACGAAGCCACTGGTAATTGCTTTACACCTGCCCCCCAGGCCGCCCTTCAGTTTTTTACTCTCTAGTCCCCAGGACTAACTCCAGGAGTGTGGCCCCAGGGGAGGGAGGACTCTAGGATTCAGGATTCCCACTTTACACTGCATGATTTCAATGGGTTCCCCGGTTCACAACCAAAGCCTTTGAGCCCCTCCTATGTCCTTTGTTGGGGACAAGAGCAGTGCCTGCAAAAAGGAGAAAAGCCTTTCTCTTTAGAGCTCTCGGCCTATGTGTCTAAGTCCAGCTGTGTTCCCTGCAGGTAACAAATACGTACCTCGGGCCATCCTGGTGGATCTGGAGCCAGGCACCATGGACTCGGTCAGGTCTGGACCATTCGGCCAGATCTTCAGGCCAGACAACTTCGTGTTTGGTGAGTGACTGGCATGGCTGATGGCATGGGAGGCTCATTTGACAGCTCAGGGTGGAGGGGTATATGACTGCCCAAGGGAGAAAGTAGCTTACTGTGTGAAGAACATCCCTGTTGTGTGTGCCAGTTCAGTCTTCGTGTCGGCTAAAACAATTTGCCTTTCAGCCTTAATAGTCAGGTATTCCTAGCCTTTCTTATTTATAATTATATGTATAACCACATATTTTAATGTCTGGTCATTTTGGTGATAATCTGAAGTAATCCTAACACTGACTCATTGATCTACATGAAGGGGTGTAAGGTAAAAAAAGAATTTAATCCAGTCATCAGTGACTTACGAAGTCTCTCCCTCTGGCAGGCCAGAGCGGTGCTGGAAACAACTGGGCAAAGGGCCACTACACAGAGGGAGCCGAGCTGGTCGACTCGGTCCTGGACGTGGTGAGGAAGGAATCAGAAAGCTGTGACTGTCTGCAGGGCTTCCAGCTGACCCACTCGCTGGGGGGCGGCACAGGGTCTGGAATGGGCACCCTGCTCATCAGCAAGATCCGGGAGGAGTACCCCGACCGCATCATGAACACCTTCAGCGTCATGCCCTCGCCCAAGGTGTCAGACACGGTGGTCGAGCCCTACAACGCCACCCTGTCGGTGCACCAGCTGGTGGA